ACCCCGCTTCCAAGAGACAAGTTGCAGTTGTCATCATAATGAACTGATTGTTCCTCTCCGCCAGAGAATTGTTCTGAGGATGATTCGGTAGAGAGTGATCGAATGGGATCTTCAGCTGCTTCATAGCCGTCTCAAACTCTGGAGCTTTGTCGGCATAAGCAATCTTGATCTTCTTCAATCCTTTGAAGTGGTTTATTGCATTGACCACGTCCTTGGTAAACTTCTCTTTCGACGGATAGGCCCATATGACGCCCGTGTACCTGTCACGAATGACGAAGATCTCTCGATCAGTACTGATCCCTTGATCAAGGATGTTCCTCGTATCGACAAAATCAAAGGTAACCAGATCTCCAAAAGCTTTGAGCTTTCTCTTGAACGCTCCTCGATGCGTCTTGAAGTGTTTCATCTTTGCTCTGATGCATGACTCACAGTAGGGATTCTTGTAACGATGTGTGAGTAGATGCTCGATTTTCCTGGCATCTGCTTTCAGAGTTCCTCTTCTCACCATTCTACTTGCACCGTCAACAACGTCCACCTCGATGTCATCTGCATCATCATCGTCAGCTTCTGGTTCACTGTCTCCGGCGACATCTGATCCTACCTCATCTTCTTCTCCAGGGGATGCCTTGAACTTCTTATTCCTCTTTCGCCTTTTGACTTTTGGAGGCTCAATCACAGGAAGGTCGTCATTATCACACATGATTCCTTGAGGATCCACATCACAATTGATGAAAGTCGATTGGTAATCGGCTTCATCTTCTCCTAGGGTGAACCTTGCGATCATCTCCGCCCTTGTATCGTCGGTGGGAGTACAGAAGTCACTGCCCTTGACAATATATGGGATGTTTCCCTCTACTTCTAACATGATCTTCTTGTAGTCCGGGGAAACCATATACGGGTTGCCGCAGGCTGGCCATATGAATGTGTATCCTTCCTCCATGCATTTCTTTCCAACAGACAATACTGAAGGAGACTCATCTAGGACGAATGGGGAATAGGTAGAGTCAAATTCGTCAAAATGAATATCGGCGACTCCCTTTGTGGATGTCACTCCATTTGCGGTATAGAATGACATTGATTGGTCGCTTTCTCTCACTTCCAGACCTAATTTCTTGGCTCTGCCTTTCGATATCAAATCATACCCACATCCTGTGTCCATGATGAACTTTGTTCTTGACCCTTTGGCTGGAATAGACAATGTCTTTGTGTCTGCATGATCCTTCTTTCCCTCGCATACATGAGGAATGACTTTATGATGGAAAACTAGGCCGTCATCTTCGTCAAAAGACATAGTGACCGCTAGGTCACCCTTTGGTCCAACTGGTATTCGGACCCTCTTGATCTCAGTGTAGGGGACCATCAATATGCCTCTTGCCTCTGCGACCTTTTCTTCAAATCTGATTTGTTCTTTCCTCGTGTAGCAGGTGAGCTCTTTCTCATCGTATCGTTTGATGTCCGGACGTAGAGGTTTCTTTTCTACTACCTTCCATTTGTCCCTGACTGAGTAGATCGCTTCGTTCAACATGATTTCACAAGTCTCTTCATCAAAGGACACTTTTGCACCTCCTTCTCTTGCCTTGGCGGATGCGGCGATCCCTTCATCTTCGGATTCGTCCATGAAGAGTTCACCGTCAATGGCTGGAGCTCCAGGCTTCGCCTTGGGCTTCGGTTTGGACTTTGCCTTGGGCTTTGGCCTATCGTCTCCTGAGTCAGCTGGTGCAGATATCCCTTTCTTAGGAGAGGCTTTTGGGTCATGGTAGAACTTGCAATCCTTCCCTTTGTCACAAGTTCCTCGAATCCACATCCAACATACTGGCTTGTCATTCTTTCCGACAGAAGGTCCTCTGGATGGTGATCTGGGTTTCTTGTGACTGAATGGGCAATCTTTCCCCATAGTGCAGTTACCTTTCACGAAGAATTTGCATGGTATCTTCTTCTTATCTGCACTCGGACTTCGGCTGCGATCCTTTCCATCGCCTTTACCTTTCCCCTTTCCCTTTTTGTTCTTGTCTTCAGGATGCTTCTTGGGATTGGGTTTCGGCTTCACTGCAGCAGCGTCTTCTGAGACAACCTGTTCTTGTTGCCCTTTTGGTTTCTTCTTCGGATCAGCTGGTGCAGCTTTCAGTTTTGGAGCAGGTCCGCCTGGTTTGAGATTCTGAAAGATATTAGCCACATTCTTCACTGCCTTCTCCTTTTCCAGGATCATCCTGTCTTCAGCTTGCCGTTCGATGTGCCTTCTGATCATATCACGTAGATGTTTGTATGTCTTCTTTGCATCATCGTCATTCATGCTGTTGTAGGCGCTGATGTCGTATGCCATGAGGTTTGAGTTCCTGATCTTTCTCCATAGGAGATCCCGAAGAGTTTCGTCGCTCGGGACGTCAACGGGCTTCATTCCTGCCAGAATCTCATCCCAAGTGTGGAAGAACAACGATAAGTTCTTGTCTCCTTGATATTCTAGTTGGTAGAGGTGCATTGAAGTATATAAGACTTCCACATTTGATGTTGTCTTGAAATTCATAAGGATCAGGGCTAGGACCTCTCTTCCCTTTATGAGGCTTGATGTTCTCCCTTTTGCATTGATCCTCGTCCTCAACTTCATAGCTACACCTGAACCATCATCTTTCGCATCCATGACGACCTTGGTAAGAGCTAGGCCGAGTTTGGCATCGATTGAATGGAATCTTTGGTCTCCTGAGTCGACAAACTTGTCCGGATCAGGATCGTCCATGGCTTCTTTGATCCAGTCGATCCAGGGCTCTTGATCTGAATCATTGGCCGCAATGATGATCGATTGAATGAGATTTGCCTTCCATAGTCCAAGATCATTGATCCTGGGCCATGACGGAACGTTTATCTTTGATTCTTCCTTCCTCGATACTTTCATGATTGTAGAGGTTGCCGGTGCAAGATGAGATGAAGAGGATGCTTCTGTTTCTGAAATCTTATCCCTCAATGATTTGTTCGCCTCGGATAGCTCAATTGATTTCTCCCTTTCCTCGGCGTACTCATTGTGGGTTTCGGCATACCATTCATACATCTCATCTCGGCTCTCTGTCATTTCATTGTACCCGTCCTTGTAGTATTTCGCCTCCTCTTTTGCGTTCCGAACCTCATCTTCCTCGGACGCGTGGGTTGGTAACCCGCGGTCTCTGGAACTAGGACGCTTGCTGTACCGAGAGACTATGGGTGCCATTCGTGCTTCTGCCTTTAATTTCGCATTTTCCATAATGACATTCTTTGTCTCCTTCTGGCTTTCCAATAGCGCATTCTCCAGTTCTCCGATCTTCTGTTGAATTTCAGCACCATCATCGCCGAACATAGGAGCTCTCATCATATTCTCTCTTTTCAGCTGTGCGTTGGCTTCGGATAGAGCGAGGTTGACGTCTTTCAATTGTTGTCGTTCACGGATGGAACTTTCTATGACTTCGTTGTTGAATATTTCTCCTTTTGCGATAACCTCCTTTGCGATGTTTGCTTCGTATTCATGGTGGCTCGCCTTCTTTTCTGCCATTTCTCTAGCGGAGACTTCAGTCTGGCATACAAACATCTCCATTCTCATGCCCACTTCCATCTCTCCTATCTCCGCTCTCGCGTTGAGTTCAGCTCCACGTGCCATAGCCAATTGACCTCGTAGATGATCAATAACCATAGCTTCCTGATTGCTCTGATCTTGAGATGAGTGAACACTGTGTTGAAGACGTCTTTCCCTGACCTCACTGTTCCATTGTTCTTCTCTCTGGTGTTGGATCACCTCGTGCATGTTGACATTCTCATCCTGTAGCGCAATCATTCTAGCTTGTATCTGGTCAGCTATTCCGACGAATGCTGTGTTCTCATCCTGAATGGCTTTTGATCTTCTATTGATCGCCAATGAAGATTCATTCTGTTCTTGGATGTGTCCAATTGCTGCTTGAAGCTCTTGGGACATTCTGTCCTTCGTTGCTTTCACAGATTCAAGCTCTGAATGTTCTTGATGAGTTTCTTGCGCAAGCTCTTGATATCTCATGTAGATATGTTCAGCTGTCGATTCCGCCAAGCGTAGCTTGTGTTCGAGCTCTTCAATTCTTATTGTCGCTCCTTCATCCTCCTGTGTCATCTCCTGTAGATGTTCTTGCATCTTCCTGTTGTAGTCAGACATTTGCCTGAACTCCACTTCAGCCTCGTGGTGTAGTCGTGAGTATCCGGCTTGGATGCATTCATATTCTTCATGAAGAAAATTGTATGCGTTTCTCGCCGATCTCAATTCTTCACCCAGCTGAATCTCTCTTCTTTGCTCTTTTGTTCCTCTATCATCGTCACGTCTCTTCTCTATACTCCTTCTTGGGGACCTCGCGGTAGACGTTATAGGCGATGTAGATCTTGTTGTAGCTCTCATCGATCTTCTTGGTCCTACGGGTGCAAGATCGGTCAGATTCCGAGCCGGTGGCACGGATCTTTCCGAGATTTGTGATCCAGTAGGCATAGTGATAACGTCAGCATTTGCTGATGAATCAGTACCCATTGTAGAGTCTGGTGACGAAATGGCGTTGGGACCACCAGGAGCAGCGAATGAATAGGGTTCGCTTCCATTTCCTCCTGAGCTTGACATTGCAGGTTTCTGTAATGACTAGTCTTGTTCTTGGTCTCGTGTAGCTCGTACGGCTATAAAGAGCGCGTACGGCTGATAACCTGCGAGTGGATCTTAATCAGCGAAGTTTGAAGCTATCACTGACGGTCCATAAGCGGCGTAGCGTCGGAACGGAAACCGCACCTTTTCTAGTCGCTTGATCCTTGAGCCAAAGTACATATGGTACATATATATGTACATGTTGCACTGTACATGTCGCTGCACTTCCATTCGCAAAAATCATTGAACGTCAACCCAAAGCTTTTCGGAAAAGACTTGTAGTGCATTTTCTTTAAAGCAAACAAGGCAATCAAAGCTTCAGCTTTTGTGGGACGCCATTGGATCGGCACCCACTTTGCGATCCGAACACTGACGAAGACTTTCTGCAGGCCTTGCCGAATCCACCTCTGCCAACTTGCTGAAGATCGCAGAACTCACCTGGACGGTTTTAAAATCTGAAGAACCTGAGCTGGTCCTTTTAGGAAGCTCGTGCTCCTCTACTCCTCCACTCCGAATTCAATGGGGACAAGCAAGTCTTCATTTGCGAGTACCAGAAAATGACAGCGATGTGGCTATGACGTAGCCCTGCACCGTCGAGTCAGGGCGCTGTTCGTGAGCATGTGAGAAACGTGAATGTATCTTATATGCTGCTCTATTGAATCCTTGGAGCCAGAACAAAAAAGAATGCTTTGCTCGAAATGATCGTCATTTGTGTGATTTTGTGGGCTGGCACTTATACTTACTTCTATATAGTTTTTTGTTTTCTTTGACATGAACTCTGCTCTTTAGGCTTCGAAGCGGAGTCTCAAAGACTCTCAAAGACCCAGTGAGGACCCAGTATTCCATGTTCAATCAAGCTGCGTGCAAGAAGTCCTCCTGGCAGCACAGATGCAGGATGAAAACAACGGGTGCTTCGTTCACTGAAGGAATGGAATCAAATGGGATCAGGAACGAACGAAAAGGGAAAGAAGGAAAGGAGGGAAAGAAAGAAACGATTGAAAAACGAACCTGGGCCACACAACACATGTTCCAAGGCTGGCAAAGGGTTGGCAAAGGTGCATCGCTACTAGCAGCAAGGACACAAGGCTGAAGTTTCCCTAAAAATCTAGGAACCAAATCATTAGTGCGAGCGTGAGCTATCCTGCGTCGATACTAGTAGCTACCTAGCTACTACTGGCTACCTCACCTCTCCCTACTAGCTACCTAGCTACCTGTAGCGGCCTACACCCCGCCATTCTCACCAGCAGTATTCCGACTTCTCCGTGCCAAGGAACGCTCGAGCGAGTCAAATAAGATGCTATTCTCCGGTGGCAGCGAATCTAAAGAGTAGCATGAGCCACTCCTAGGAGCGCACACAAGATAACACGAGGTCTTATGTCTTAGGTCTTAGGTCATCTTTCATATTTTTGTAGAAGACTATTTGCAGAGGGTATAGTAATTATAGGTACATGATTTTGGCAGCGCAATGGCCATGGTGGTATTTGCAGTCCCTTTGCGGATGTGGCTCAACCTACTCCAGGAATGTTCAAGAATAATCCTGTCCATTCATAGCATGGGATCAGTCCTTGGATGGATCTACAGTAATGTTTGGTTTCTTTGCCAAGAAGTACATTTACATGTTCCCAAGACGCTTCTGACATGCGGACAGTAGTTCGTGGAGAGAAGCATTCACGCAAAACCCTCCTGTTGCAAAAGTATCCAGTGTCCAAATTTCGATTCGGCTGCATGCTATCATGGAAATATCCTGACCGATGCCGCCTTGGATGGCCCGGAAAACCCCCCTCTGAGGCCGAAAACGGGCTGGTGAAGTAGAGCGCCGGATCCTCCGAATTCGCCTCGGAGGCCAGGGACGTGGAACGATATGAGTGATTATGAGTGTGGGAGACCTCCTGGCCTGGCTGGGCAGACGGGTCCATGTTCCTTCTTCCAGGGTCGGAACGCCTGGGAGGGCTCCCTGTTTTAATATACACATATGTTGAGAGTAAGGTCAGACAGGCACATGGAGCAATGATGAGCAAGGATGTGATTCTGGTAAGGCGGCAAGAACAAGCCACTTTTGTTCTTGAAGGTCGGCAATATTCAGACTCACGATGACTCAACGAAAGCTTTGGTCGGGATCCGCAAAAAGCAGCCACAAATTCTTGCAGCTTGACCCGCTTAAAAAAGCCTCGCGTCAACTTGGCAGGCCAGTTCAGGACGTGGTCGTTGTCCCCATGCTGGTAGTTCTCATTGACCTACCGGTGTCCTGTGGCACTAATTGCCTTGGTGTTGGGTGCCCTTCACCGTAGAGTTGGAATGATTCCTCGCTTGGTACACCCGTCTTCTTGGGGCCGGACATCCGTGTCAACATCCGAGATCGAGCGCTTGATTGCTGCAGCATTCTGGCAAGAATCCTTGCGAATGCACATGGAATGTCCTGGCTGCCGGCAGGTGAACCGGCAACTCTGAAACACTGAGGATGAAAATGGGTTCGATCTTAACGTAGCGATTTCGATGGACAAAAATATAGCTTTGTATAAGATCTCCGCAGCCCTTCTTTTCTACCCTGTGCCACTATGCAGTACGTCTTCTTGCAGGGTCGGAGCTTGGGTGGGTTTCGGGGTGAAGCAAAATGTCCGAGGTCCTCGCTGAGTTGAGGCAAAGTTGCTGCACGGTGCCCCCGGGTGAAATTTGAGTTGAGATGTGTAGTGAATTTTTGCTACGTGAGGCAAAGTGAGGCAACCAGGATCGCAACGGATACATTTTATCTCCAAAACATAACTTTGGAGCTATTCCTTACCACACAGGAGACCCTGCTGACTGTAGAAATACATGCATGTACATGTGTGTATAGTGTGCATAGTGTGCAAACGTTTACCTACATACATACATACATGCATGCATGCATGCATGCATGCATCCATGCATCCATGCATCCATGCATCCATACATCCATGCATCCATGCATCCATGCATCCATGCATCCATGCATCCATGCATCCATGCATCCATGCATTGCATTGCATTGCATTGCATTGCATTGCATTACATTACATTGCATACATACAGTACATACAGTACATACCTACCTCCCTACCTGCCTGCCTCTGCCTACCTGCCTACCTGGCTACCTACATACCTACATACCTACATACATACACAGACATACAAACATACGTACATACGTACAGTATGTGCACTGCTGTTCATTGCGTGCATTACGTGCTTTGCCTACATCATTGGACACATTACATACAAAACATACAGGACAATACAACACAACACAACACAATACAGACAATAACATAAAATCCGCCCACACAGCAGGTGCCGGGGGGCCTCATGGGGACGAAAGTGCATATTCTGTATCATGAGCTGTCTGGGAGAGGAGCATATGGTGTTCAAATATGTTCAAATATCATCAACGCCTGACTCTCTTTCTCATTGTCGCATCATTTGCACCACCACATCCATGAAAGGGCAACCAATCGATTCCTCTCAACAGTCTTTTGTCTAAAATGATCTTTCATGATTGCATCATATACATCAGCTGGTTGCAAATGCACACTTTTTGTACACAATGCGTGCAAATCAGTGATATAATCTGGACCCCTGAAAACAGTACAATTGCAAGTGGTGCGAAAAATATATCCAACAATGCTTGCAATCAATGAATGAATATACTGTGTATATATATATATATATAGAGAGAGAGAGAGAGAAAAACACGCCTAATGAATTTGTAAGGGGTCCAAAAATAGATTGTAGAAGCTTCTCTACATATTCTTCACCTACTTCTTGCTGCGTTTATCTCTAAGGTGTTTGTTGGCAGTGCACATTGTACAGTTCATTGTCCAAACTATATTCGTTTGCAAGCATTGTTGAATATAATTGGACCCCCTGACAAATGTACAACTTCAAGGGGGTTGAAAAATATATCCAACGAACGATGCTTGCAAGTTGCAAGTAAGACATAGCTAAACAGTGTCCAAAACTAGAGTGATTACAAATACTGTTTGTTAGTCATCCACTTCATCCTGCCTTGTCTCGATCATGCACACTGTATAGTTTACTGTACATAATTACTCTATTTTTGGACCCCCTTGAACATGTACACGTCCAAAGGGTCTAAAAATAGATCCAACAATGCTTGCAAAATGCAAGTAAGACATAATTAAGCAACCTGAATAACACATAACAAGACGTTAAGATAACAAGATATAAATATATAACATAAATATATAACATAAATATATAACATAAATATATAACATAACATAACATAACATAACATACATTACATACATATTACATACATACACCATGCCATAAAACCATACCATACCAATCAATACCATACATAACACGACATGACTGTAATTTCTATATGTTTCTATTATATATGGTCCTTGCTCCTTTCTTGATCCGCTGTCGCAATCCGACACCCCCAATCCCGATGGATCTCGTCCTTCCAGCGGCGAAGCGTCCTGTGGGGAAGGTCTTCTGTTCAACCCCCGTGTCCGTCTTTGGGCCAAAGGGCACGGACAGGCTCTGCCAAAGGAAGCTAGCTCAGATGAGATCAAGGACCTTTCGTTTTGCTCACCTTCAGTTGTGAGGTTGTTGGAAAGGACTTCTGCCTTACAACTGAAGATGAGCAAGTGAACAACTCCAAAATAACATGTTGCAACAATTCACTGAGCCCAGACTGAACTGAAGCAGCTAGCATTTTAACTCCGGTTTCAGGCCGGACGCAAAACTTCGTGCCATCCCAGAAGGTCTGGCTTTCGCTCAAAACCCGCATCACAGAGAACAAATGCGGCTGAAAACTGTTTGAAGAGAAGCGCAAGATCGCACTCTGTGCGATATCCAGCGCAATCTTCCAAGATCGCAAGCCGCTGCTTTCATGGGGGACTCCCATGTTGTACAGATTTCCAAGAACACTCCTGTGAAGGGGGGAGATGCAAATCTGGGCAGCTCGCAGTGTGCTGTGACTTGTCAGCCAGTAGCTTTGTGGCTTTGACGAAAATCGAAAGCATTTGCTAGGCGTGGGCTTCCGAATCTGGCTCAGCCAGTCTGTTCTGAATCTTATTGTTGGAAGCACCTTCAGCTGTTGAAACAGTTGAGATCATCCGAGATCAGATTCAAAGTCCCAGCCATGGACAAGTATACTGCTACTTGGTGCGGTCTGAGCTCGCAACAACTAGCAGTGACCGTTGGGCGCCCCGCAACTGAATGGCGATAGCATCTGCGGCCTCCCAACAGCCCTTGGCCCCGTGCAGTCCAGTGGCAGGCATGCCAAACCAAAAAGAGCCGGAATCAAAAATTTGCCCTCAGCAAACACGCCGTCCGCAACATGATGATTCTAGTCATTTTTTACTGCAACTTGCACCGGTTCCATGCCATGAGTAAGAATCCTCCTTACATGTTGAGCACTGATTTCAGGCGCTTAACAACTTTCAGACTGACTCTATCGTTGCTTCCGGCTGTGGCTCGCATCAGACTCAAGCCTGGGACTCAGGAGGTTATAAGTCTCCATGTTATGGGTATCCCACAAAGTATGCTTCTTCTCATCTTTGAAGGAGCGGGTAGGCTGCGGAAATAGGGGCTAGACAAGTGCAGCAGTGGCAAGCACCCAAAATTTCGAGTTCTTTGCATGAACAAAATGGTCTGCATTGAGTTGCATTGAGAACTAGACAATATTTAGCCTTGGGGGCCTTGTCCTTTCTTCCAATCTGCTATCCTCTTCGGTCAACATGTTCAAGTGCCCATGTCATTGTATTCTGGAACATCCGTGAACATCAACATCCAGTGGCTTGGGGATCCCAGCGATTCAGGCAACTCCCTACCGACCAGCCATGCAAAATAGTTGAAAAAACACGGAAAAACTGCTCCCACCCTGTCGCCTCTCTTGCTCGCCTTCGCACTTCTGCGATCAGCTCCTGCAGTGCGGCGTGGTTCACTCTGCATATCTATCCAGACCGCAACCCTCCAAACTCCACAGACTCAGAATTTTCCCCATAGCAATCGAAACAAGGCATCAAGAAGCAAGCCAAGGTGATGAGTCCCACACTGGATGACTACTTGAAGGATCCCAGATTTGCTTTACGCATAAAGCATCCCGCAACCAAATCAGACTGTCCTCTGCTCTTTGCTGTGGCATTTCGGAATACTCTCTGAACTCCATGGAGAATTCTCCCTGTCCTGCAGGCACAGAAAGAAAGACCAACAGTACATGTATGATGCATGTTGCTCAAATGTATGGTGAATAGTGCAAAAGGTACAAACAAAATTGATACTGTATATAGAAAGCAAGAGGGTGATGCCAACTCTGCTGGTGAAAGCCAACTCAGCATGCTTGGCCAACGATGCAAACCCTCTCCTTGAGTCACAGAGCGCAAATCTGAGGAGTAACCAAACCTTAGAGGATGATGCTGCAGCGAGATCAGAGGTCTCACTCGTCCGCTTGTCAAGTGGGTTTGATGTACGGAAGGGTGCCACAAATCTACCCTCACAAATCTAAATAAACAAGAGAAGCCAGTGTTCATATTCCGGAACGGCCTGGTTCACAAGATCCGTGTCAAAAGTGGTCTACAGTACTACGGTCTATGCTAATACTATGCTCTAGGCCACTAGACGATGCTACCCCCAGAGCCACCGCTCTGAGCCCAACGCATCCGTCGCAGGGGTACCAGCGCCTAGCCATTGCAAGAGCTAGGATGGCGTGGATGTTCAGTGGGGAGATGAGCTCCAGCCCTTTGTGTGGGGGACGGGAACCTCTTTGTAAGTCGTTTCATCTAGTATCCTTTTTGCAACAGTCTTCCAGTTTCGGCTTCAGCCCTTTTCCCTGTTCTAGAGGGAAACCGAAGGACGACGAGTGCTTCAATTTTTCTCTTTGCATTCAGAGAAGCTCAGCGCCAGATCTTGCATCGTCGGCTCGGATGTGAGGTGTGCGCTTCTTTAGGTGACCTTCTGACAAGATCTGCAGCGACGCTCTTTGCGACGCACCGCAGAAAGTCCTGCGCCTCCACCAGGGAGGTATCGGAGGAGACGGCCTTGGTGCTCTGAATAGAGCCCTCGCGAGTGTTCAGCCTGGGCACCGGTCCCGCATGAACACTTGCATTCAGAACACCTGGTGGTCACCTGGTGGTCCAAGAACCACGCTCATGTACACTCGCATTTGGTGGTTTCTTTGCCTTAATCAACTTAGATCGACATGCTACCCAATGCATGCCTAAACAACACTACCTAATAACCTCGTCTTCTAAACCGTCTTTGGCTTGGACGGTTGGCTTTAACAAAAAACCTGCGGTGTTGCGTTGCCGTCAGCCTCAGCCTTGCTGCACCTGTGGACATAAGGCTCCATATCCACACCTTGAGCTTCAAGTGTTTGGGATCCTGTAGCTTGGCCTCATTCCTCCAGGGATGAGGATGATGAGGTTTGCTTCCGGACAAGAACTTTGGTATCATTGTTCGATGTTTGTGCTTAATAGTTTGTCGATGTGTGTTTTGTCTATGATTTTGGGTCAGTGTTGTAGAGCGGATCAACCCATATTGTCGGGATAAACTTGGCTCTAAAACACAGAGTGCTGGTGGTGCTGCTGAGAATATCAAGGTGTTGCTGTTCCACAATGTTCCACAAGCTTCCTGTGTCAAGTAATTCGAAAGTGTTTGTTCTGTCGTTGTCGCTCTTGAAATATGATGAAATATGGAGCAATTAGACAAATCTGTAATAGGCACCTGGACAGAGATGCAGCTTGATATTGAGATAGACAGACTCTCTTGATTGAGTGGCAAAGCCAAACAGTATGGGAAATCATGGGAAATCACTGGTAATGCACAACCAGTCAACCCATCCTTGGTCTCCCCGTTTACAAGACACGCATGTCACAGGCAAGTTGAATCGTGACTAAATATCACTGGCGTGTGCCTTGTGGTTGATTCCTCTCTGGGACTCGTTGCGATTGCAGCGCTTGTGCTTGGAACTCCGAGGGGAACGTCACCTCGACCTGCGATCGGCAGGAGATTTCAGACAGGATCGGCCAAAGCGATCGGCAGCTAGGAGCCAGGTGAGCCACCATCTACCCTTGCAGCAACCCTTCTTGTGACTAGTAAGGAGCTTTCACATCCGCGACCGGACATGTGTCCAACTTGGATGCCCCGGCTGCCATCATTGGCTCCAGCACCACCGGGTTGGCATCGTCTGGGCGGCAGGCTGGACTTTTTGGTTTAGCAAAACCCTCCAGGCAGGAACTGGACGGGGGAAATTGAACCCGAGACACCTACAAGACCGTAAGGGCGGCGTACAGCAACAGCTGTTGTTTAGGGTCAGAAAGATCATACAAATTGAACTGATCAGGAATCTCCAGCGCACACACACACAAAGTCATGTATGCAGATGTTTTACAATATGCAGCAAACGGGCACTCATCTGTAACAATCCGGGAATGTTGAAATCTACCTTGCCTAGCTGCCTAGCTTAAGAAACAGACCAAAGCCTTCCAATCTCTTTAGCTTTGCTCCCTGACGGTAGAAATTGTCAAATGCACCCTGGGCAGCAGCTTGGAAAGCTTCAGCGGATGAGTCCACCTGGCACGTGAACAACACTTGAGACCTGGTCCGTCTCAGCTCCGTCTCAGCAGAAGAAACTTAGTCGTCTGACCTGTTGCGTTGCGTTCCATGACCTTTGATTGAAAAAAAGCAAAGGTTTGAGCTTCCATTCAGCAGTACTTGACCAAGTTGGTGCTGCACGTGCTGCCCTCGCACATTTTTCTGGGCAAAAAACGGCTGTTGGTACACTTCTATGATTTGTGCGTGTCATCTCAACACTTGCACTCCTCCCTGGCTCATCTTTTTGATGAAGCCAGTCAAAACGCACCTCCAGCTCAAGCCGTTCTTCGGCAGACTTTACACTGCCGATTCTAACATCGGCCCAGTCACCGCGTCACACCTGGCATCGGTGTGATGATTCCCGAGCTGGTCTTTGTAAATGAAGTCCGCTTCATCGAGGCTTCTCTGACCTTGGGTCGACCTCTGGCATGCACCGCACACTGGATGCCCTCGGACTCGATTGGCGTTTCTCAGCCCTCTGCATTCTCGCCTTCGATGGAAGCATTGGTTGGACTCCGCAAACCAGACCTGCCATGGAGGTTCGACGGCAAATCTTCTTCTTCCCGTCAGGGTGATCTGCAGCCGCTGTCCCCCTGGTAGATCAGCTTGGTTTGGGGGCTCTTATTGTGGTTCAGCTTGGCCAGGATGGTCCCTCTCTCGACTTTCATGTCCCATGCCATCATCACCACTGGTACTCGCCGACAACAACGAGGAAGGGTTCTGTTCCATGCCACTCGCTCGGCGTCGAGCCTCTTCTCTGGGGTTTGACCCTCGGCTTCTCTCTTCTCGCATTCTTGTAGAAGACCTTGTGCCGGACGAAGTTCGTTCTGTTGGGTTGGTGACCTCATTCGGCGCACCATCGGTTCTTCCCCCACTTCTCCCCAGCGTATACAGCATCGCTGAAGGATCTTCATGAGCACCATTCCCAG